CCTCCTGTAGCGAATCGATGCGTTTTTGTAAGAAACTAACCATATTTAAAATGTAATAATCAATTTAATCTAGCTTGCGCTCACTATTGTAAACGGAAGCAGCTCCGGGCGCATGACGTATGAGGTCAGCGTTGCGCATGCGCCGCTCAGAAGTAACGCACGCGGAAACGCAGCGGAGAGATCAAAACAAAACAACGGTCACTAATTTGAAGTACAAAACAAGGATTTGTAAAGAAGAATGTCGGAGGATTTCGATATAAGCCAAGAGGAGACTGCTTTTCCTTTGCTAAAGTAAGGAAACTTTGCTTCCTTTGCTCCTGTAAACAAACATTGGTTTTCACAAGACTCACCGGCGCATGCGCAACGCCGACATCTTACGTCATCCTCCCGGAGCTGCTTCCGTGTACAACTGTTGGCGCAACCTACATTAAAGTGATTATTACGTTTTGAATATGGAAAGTTTTCTTACAAAAACACATCGATTCGCTAGAGGAGGCCTTTGTTCACCCCCCGAAGCCGTGTGAGACACTTTCTTTATGAATGGGCAATTTTTATTTAACTTATTTTGGACTGATGCATGCAACACCCGCTGAGTGGCATTAAACAGCATGTGTTTTTACATATCTACACACATTTGAAAGTGCATGATTGCTGATTCATTAAGCATTACATGATTCTAACGTCTTATTGCTGAAAGTTACCATAAAGTGATAGTACTATTATCACACAGTCTAAGATATATAATATATGTGTCAGTGGTTTTGTATTTTAGCTCTGGGCTTTTAATTACATCTTAGTCTGAAATATCCGGGAAAGCTTGAAAAGTAAATATGACGTGAAGTGAAAGAATGTGTTTCCTTAGAAATTAAGGAAAAAGTGTATGGAGTTGCCACTCCAATAAATAGCAAAAATGTGACCAATGATAATATCATCTTATATCATTTATTTTTTTATAATAATTTCTGTAATTTCTTTATTTTACTTAAAATTATAATTATTAATAATGATTAATTTGTTAATAGAATTATTGTTTTAAAATATAATAATGAAATTTCAGATTTGGTTCATTTAGCTGACATGCTTAAGCTCTGACTTGAACAATTATTTGGGACATTGACCATCAAAAGTTTGCGGTCAATAAGATTTTATACTGTTTTTGAAAGAAGTTTCTTTATAACATTTTTTTTAAATACATTTTAAAATGCAATTTATTCCTGTGATGGCAAAACTGAATTTTCAGCATCATGGATTTTATGTGTTGTTTCTCCTTTTGTTTGTATAATGTATACTCTGCTGAATCTATTGCTAATCTTGAAAAAAAAAAATTATTTTCTTTCCCCTGCAGGGGTATTATAAGTGAACACCACATTATATACCCATTCGGAACTGGAAGCGTATTGGATGTCACCCGGTTCCCATGATTCACTAAACAAAGCTGCGGCACAGTGCTAGTGCAGCCCTGGCCTTTTACCCTGTGCACTATTACTATCTTTGGGCCTTGGATGATATGGCTTTTGCATTTTCTGCAAGACAAGCAGGTAACAATTACATTATACTTATTTCTTACATTACCTTTTTACTCACGGCAGTACAGTACAAAGAGGAACCTGTAGGTTTTATATTTGCTTGAAATTTAATAATGACATGACTTTTTAGATGTTGCATGCTTCTCTTTTCAGGTGTGCAGATGTTCATATGTAACAAAGAGCATTATGGGTACCTGCCGCTGCCTTTGAATACAAAGCAGACTCTTGAGGAGGTGGAGAGCTTCAGCCACACTGTCACAGAGCCACTGAGTGTGTATCACTAAATCGGCTTAATGTGAAGAGTTGACAAGGATTTTTCAGGTCACTCAAAAAGCTAAGGGACTTTATGGTGATGTTTAGTAAATGAGTTCTGAGGTGGTGTTAAATACAATACTAGTGTGAGTGAATAAACTGTGAAGCAGAGGTGTGGGCATCTATTCACCACTTTCTGTTCTACCTCTACCACAAACACTTCAATGTATGCCTTTCCATATAGTTTTCCCAGGAAAGAGAATTTTCACTCCTTTGTGACATATCTCACACGTTCTCTCTGACCCGGTCATTAGATTAGCTTGACTTTGTTTTAAAATCTGCATGTTATAAGAATTCATTGTACCATGAAAACACAGTGTAAAGTTCAGAGCTCAAAACTTCATCCCCAATCCAGAAGATCATTTATTGAACTAACACCAGAAGAACTAGCAATAAAATTAGCAATAAAATCACCATAAATCTTGTACTGTTTCCACTGTGTTTAGCACCTACAGCTCTGCGTGACTTAAGTTTATTTCTCACAAAAGATACCTGATTGTTTCAATCTGATCCTAACAGTTTGTTTTTGCACAGGCTGATTTGTGGTTCTATCACAATTTAACATATTTCCCCCCAGAGAGGCAGTTATTGAAGGATGTGGCAGTTAAAGGGGTCATATGACGTTGCTAAAAAGAACATTATTTGTGTATTTGGTGTAATGAGATGTTTAAGCAATTTAAGGTTCAAAAAACACATTATTTTCCACATACTGTACATTAATGTTTCTCCTCTATGCCCCGCCTTTCTGAAACGCTCAATTTTTACAAAGCTCATCGGTCTGAAAAGCGAGGTGTGCTGTGATTGGCCAGCTATCCAGTGCGTTGTGATTGGCCGAATACCTCAATCGTGTGACGGAAATGTTACGCTCCTTACCATACTGTGATGCCGTGTCCCAGCACGACGAGACAAAACCAATCAAACCCATTACAAATGAGGCATTTGTTGCATCCAGTGGGGACATACAGTAATTACGGATTATAATGACTTATATGGTCTTTTTATGCGTAGCGTTGTATCGTACCACGTAAACATAAAACCATGTCTGCATTTATGATCGGAGAAATTGACAAAGAACAAGCGCTACTCTACACTGCTCAAAACTTGCTTTTGAATCGTCAGTGGCAAATTCTTTAAATATAAAAAACGTACTTACAGTCTGTGAGTCAGAACAGCCGGCATTGTAGTCTACTCTCCCAGGATCAGGAAACAGTCCTCCATAAAATGCACTGCACACATCTGAATATTTGGGTTGAACTGTTCTGGAACAGTGTTGTAAATACAACTTAACCACTGATTTCTAGTCGTGTCCTCTTTTGGAAGACCAAACAAACTATTTTCGCTTTTGCAACGAAACACACAGCGTCTTCACGGTGGCAGCAACA